CTTGATAATGAAATGCGCGTCGTATAGATTGTGAAAAAAAACGGGAATAACGAACGCGTTCTGATAGTTCAAATTGCAGCTCGCGTGCGCGGGTCCTCTGTACCGTCCGATAAGATGACAGTGATCGCGCACGCGAATATCGTATGACCCAAAGCTCCTTCCGCACACGTGACAATTTGTCGCCTTTTGGAAAGCGCTCCGTTTGTTCAGCGAGAGCTCCGATATCGGTACGCTCGCACACAGAACCTTTCTCACGCGACACGCGAGAGCGTGCAGTTCCTCGACGAACCACGAGACGCAGTCGTCGCCTCGGCGAGATCTATACTCGGATGCGATTCCGTTGTACGTGCTACGCAAATGATATCCCATGCTGAACGCCTTATGATGTTGATAGGCGAATCTATCGTCGAGATTGAACCGTTGATCTCCCTTTTCTAAAACGCACTCCAGATCGGCATATACGACGAATCGTAGTCTCTTCTTTTTGTTGTGATTGTGAAAGGAGAGCAACTTGTCATCCTCGCTCGGAAGAATAACGGCGCAGTCGTTCACTCTTCCGCACTCGACGCTATGCGCGACCAATTTCTCGTTCGAGTAAAAATAATGTAGACATCTGAAAAATACAATTTATAATTAATATAAAATTTATTTCGCGACAAGCATAGTTTCTCTCTTACGCTTATCGGTCGCATATGTATTTTTTTTCCTTATGTTTGTTTATTTGCGACGTTAACAGTCGAGACAGGTGCTTTATCCATACGAAGTGACCGACGTTATCACCGCGCCGCTCGTTCGACAGATAGAGCAAATTTACGTGCGTTATCTTCTTGTTCCCCGTGAGCGACAAGGGTACGATCATGATACCGTTCCTCTCCTTTTTCTCTGGAATGGCAAATACGTTGATAGACACATTGTTAAGACGTTCGAACCTAGCGATGTTTCGTAGCGTCATAGGAAAGTCGATACCATCGAAATTCAGCACCAACGAATAGTGAGGATACGACGACGGTCTGTCCGAGTGTAGATCAACGGGATATAGGGCTATTACCGCCTACGCGAAGCACGCGTTGTCGTTTGAACGTATGTTAATCACAGCTCTTTTATATCTTATCTTCGGAGGAAGTGACATCCAACATTCAGCGTGTATAGGATTACACTTGTTCACATTGATCATCAAATTTATTATCCGAAGTAACGCCCAACCGCTGTCACGTTCCTGAAATTCCTCCAGCGACGTGCGAATGCTCTTAACAGCGCTCTTATTATTCGCGACGAACTCCCCGTGAAACACGGTGTTAATCTTTAAACACGTGTGCATATCGAGATCGACTCGCACTCGCTCGAGCACCATGGCCCTCGCGTCCTCGAAAAACCATCGAGGTTCGACGTACTCAATGTTTATCATAGCGCCCGTTCGTACGCGATTCGCGAAGACCGTCTCGATATTCACCCATTCAAATCTCTTTGAATCATCGTATCCTGCATCCAAGTAACCAAAACGTCGACTCAAAGCGAGTCTCGTACCCTCCAACTGCGCTATTCGAGAGACCAGAGAATTTATCGTTCCGATAAAGGATCGACTCTATTCTCATATCTATCTCTCAAGACCTCGAGACATTCAATACACTCCTGTTTCCAAACGCGATAGGCGCACATCCCTTCAACCCCCGCTGCGCGTTCGAGAAGATCGCGATTCTTCTCCATATCGCAACCTCCCACATAGTGTTACCCAAACCGTCCGTAGGAACGACGAATTTAACGTCTCGAAATTTTCTCTCTCGCTGTTCTCTCGTGGATCACCGCTCTGTCACTCAGAGCGAGCAACGTTTCGATCCACAGTTTCTCTCGCGGGCTTTCCGTATCGATTTCCCGTCGCAAGTGATACGTGATCACGTTCCAGCGAACATCTTCTCTCATCACGATCCACTCCTCGTCGTTGCCAGGCGCAACAGTCTCGTAACACTCTAAACTATCGTCACTCTCGATAATCAACTCGCAACGATCGTAGTCGTCGAGATCGCGATGCGTCACGTTATGATCGAACGCGCGTAAAAGCGGATCATCACTCTCGCTCGAAGATGAACCGCCGTTAAACGCGACTTCTTCCATATACCACGTTCTTAAATGGAAAAAGCTGCCTCTCACGACTAAATATATACTCCGAGGCAGCGTCGAAAACGCGTCAAATCGCAACAATCGCGACATACTGAAATGACAAAACGCGCGGTATTCTATATAATCAGAACGCGCGTCTTCCCGTCGCCGCGAAAACAGGACGCGCTAAACCCCGCGGAAAAGAACGCGCCTAACCGCAGTATTTTATAAATATCTCTTTCCTCTTTTTACGTTCCTGATAAAATAATACAATAATAAAATAATACAATAATAAGATAATACAATAATAAAAATAATACAATAATAAGATAATACAATAATAAGATAATACAATAATAAAGATAATACAATAATAAAGATAATACAATGATAAAGATAATACAATAATAAAGATAATACAATAATAAAGATAATACAATAATAAGATAATACAATAATAAGATAATACAACAATAAAATATTCTCTTGTCATTATTAACACTCCTACGACGATTCCCTTCTCGCGCGACTCCCATCTTTCATATATTCCCGATACCGTTGTCCTTGATCTTGATATCGCAAATTGAATCTCTCGTTATTATTAACACTCGTACGACGATTTCCTCTTCGCGCGACTCCACCTCTCGTCTCTCATACGTTCCCGATAATATAACGTCACCCTCGGTATCGCAAATTGAAGACTTCCGGCGCGTCGCCCGATCCGCCTCTCGTCTCCGCGATATGCAAACGAACGAGGAAAAAAACTTTGTCTCTCGCGGTTAGTTTTAATCTCATATATATTCATATATACAATCTATAGTTATATTACGATTATAGTACATAATTATATGCATGCACACTTAGTTGCGCTAATTGATGCCAACGCACTCTCTTCTTTTTCTCTCCTCCTCGTACGCGGCTGAAATGGTACCGCTTTTCCTCCAATACTTGCGATGAACGCAAAAAAACATTTTGTCGTCATCGTTGTCGTTAAATACGTCGTAATAGCCGCTTTCATGAAAGTTCACTATGTATTCCTGTCATCTGCTAATCTCGATCGGTTTCTTCTTTTCGTAAAGTACCTCCAATAAAAAATTATATGCCATCCCTCGATAGTGATGACATACACAAGTACACACATATCTCTATTACCTTTTTAGGTGAAATCTCACGCTGAGCCGGAAATCGACAACCGCGCCTCTTTAACTGGTTAGAAATCGGAGTGTATTGTCCTCTCACGACGTACTCCGTCACATTGACCGATGGATACGTCGTTATGTTTCGCAATAGAGAAGATGTTAGGTCATCCAGAGAATAGCACCAACACATCTCATCATCATCGATTCGTGTCTCGCACAGCTGGCACCGATTCACTATTTTGACGGTTCTCGCCATCGTAAGCACGACGACAAGTATCACTCAAAAGAATCACTTCGACGACGCGTCAAACCGCAATGTTCTACAAAACAGGACGAGCGGCACGTGTTATATCCTCATACACTAGACACAGAACACGCCTAAGACGACGTAAAAAACGCAAACCGCAGCATCCTGCAGAACAGGACGCGCTAGACCCCGCGAAAAACGCTAAGGCAGCGTCGAAAACGCGCTCGGGATTACGCGGGAAGCGCTAGATCCCGCGGAAAATACTAGGGTAGCGTCGAAGACGGGGAGGACGAGCGGTACACGTTACATCCCGAGAGACAACGCCTAGGGGAAACCGACCCGGGGAAACCCCGCGACCGCCGTGGAAGACCTTACCGACCAAGGAGGATAAACCTACCCCGACGACCGCCAGAGGGATCCACCGCCTCTCCCCCGAATACGAACCCCCTGGGAAAAAAAACCATCCTTACCGACTCAGGAGAATATTCCTCCGGATACGAAACCCCTGAGGATTCTACGACCCCCTCCCCCCTCACCCCCCTTTCCGCTCCGTGGGGCTAGGACCCTCCTTGCTTATCTACTGTCAAGGGATATTTTCGTTCTAGAACTCTGATTAGATTATTCGTACCACTGACGTTGTTATAACTCCATGCGGCCTGTTATCGTCGAGCGTTTTCTTCCTCTTCCTCGCGTCGTCGCTCTCGTCGACTCGATGCGTCTCGGAACCCTGCAAGTGTTCGATACCGTATATCTTTACGACCGGAGAGATCGCGCGATATTGATTGTTCGTAACCGTTTCGCATCCTTTGCTCTATACACTGTATGAAAAATTCCATGCCTCCTCCTCCCTCTCCTCCTCGAAATCATCCTCGTTCGAAAATATGTTCCTCATCTGAGTGAGTCTTTTCAGAAGAGTGTGCAATTGTTCTAATAGTCCGTCCCTTGGACGATATCAAAAATCTCCGCATCGAATTTACCGGCCATAATTATACTTCTGGTAAACTCGTTGTACTTGAAGAACTGTCGTTTAACGATAAAGATTATTAGATACAGATTATTGTCGATATATCGAACGGCGGACTTTACGGCGGGTGGAATCCCCGGAAATATCGCGTGCAACGAGTTATGTCTGACGGCTATCATCGAGCAGTCGTCGATGTTGGCCACGATCTCATCGTGTTGTAAATCGCGAACGTTCGTCCCGTTAATATTAACTACAGTGTTAATTTTCGCGTAAGGAGGAAGATTCATATTCTTCAGTTTCTTCGGCCAACCCGGTACCAGAAAGGTACTCGAAACTCGGATATTCTGCCATGTAAACTGTATTGTTTACGAACAATACGAGTTGGCATGAAGGTCGTCGATACGCGCCTGCCAAATGCGTAAAATTATCGGGAAGGAAACGGACGCAGATAGTCCGTCAGTAACAACGATCTGCCGTAAGATTTTCCGTTTACGCCGACCGACCATAAATGGCGTCGATACGCCACGTACATTCTGTCTTCTAACATCGCGACGCGTCACAATGCGCACAGATCCACGTTCGTCAAGTTTGTATCGCGCGTCGCGATCGTGGTCGTCGCTATGGTCGTCGTCGTTGGCACCGATCTCGAGACTTTGCTCTTATTCTTTAAACCATATAAATTCTGAATGGCGAGAAAATCCGCCTCGCTCAAACGGATGAGAAAAGTCTTAGAGGGAACGAAGGCGTACATTATCGAATTCTTCTGAGGACTGTGATGTAATTCTAACGCGTGGCCGATCTCGTGCGTCAATGTATGCAGTAGATAATCATTAGGATTAGCGGTCAGCTTGATGTGCCATTTCTCTGCGTTATCTACGTACACCTCCGACACTTCGGACGATAGTAAAAGAGCATGAGTTAGCACGTTACCTGGTCCATCCAGCAACGACGGACATATTCGGTTACCGCGATGTCGAGGATTTACGAATGTTTGAAAGTCCTCCTGAAACGATAGCACGATATCGGGATTCATTGAATCGCGCTCGAACGTCAACGAGGAATTCGCTGCCTACATCTCGAACGCGATCTCGGTGATTAGAACGCTCTCGCTCGCCAGGTGAAAGTTCCAAGCGAGGTGCGTCTTCGCCCATTTCCTCGGAAACTTGTCCAAAGTAGAATTCGATATATTTCTGACATCCACATCGCGGTTTACGCATCTGTTTCAATGTAGCGTCGTTAAGAAGGTGTTACCAGGTATACCCATTACTAGGTATACGGTAATACTCCTGAAAAAACGCGATCACATATCTCAGAACCAACGTCGCGTTATCGGACGATATCGTTTGCACGTTATCGCCGTCCAAGTATTCGATAGGTTTGCAAAAACCGAATTGCCTCCTCGTCGCTATCGGCGGCGGAGTTGCGAATCACCGCGATAACGGCCATCGCACATGCGACTACGCAAGCGTCATCGCGCGAAGCGGAAATCAAATCGACACTGCGCGTCGCCGACCGAAATACGCTCGATCGATGTCGCTATCGGTACGCGTCGCGAGAGATGGTACGCTAACGCGAACCGCGATGAATCGCTCTAATTTTTCATTAATCGCTTAGATCGCTTAACTCTACGCGAAGTTTTATAACTTTCGTTCGATCGCGCGCTTCTATCTCTAACGACTCGCCAGAACTCCAACCGCAACAAAGATAGTTCGATTTCCTACTCTTCTCGCGCTTTATTCGCGTTATAAAAAAGAAGAAACGCATCTGTCATCGCGACGAAACTCTACATATGCGAATCGGAAATTTCAACCGCGATTACGATATGATTTTATTAGTTTCTATTTTCTATTTTTTTCACTAAAAAAATACGTGTCGCGAAAGGTGAAGGCCGACGCGAACTGCGATGAATCATTCTGACCTTTATTGATCGCTTAGATCGCGCT